CTTTGTTTACAAATCGAGCAAACCAAATAGTGTGCTTATACATATCTTATGTAAATTTGTTCTAATTAAAATGAAGTAAAAAAGAAAGCAAGTTTATAAAAACGTAGTAAAATGAGTACAACGAGTTCTGGTTCAACAATTCGTCGGAGGATGAGAGCTAAGTAAACTGGCCAGGAGTAGCAAATGTTTAGTCTTTCGAATATATTTTGATATAAAATATATTTAAGAAATTTGTCTACAGATTCATTAAAAAGTTCCGGCCATCTAAAGAAGCGTTTGTGAGCCAAATCTATTTAAAATATTTTAAAACTATCAACAGCGCTACGATTTTGTTCTCAGAGATCGCGCCAACAGAGTATTGGGATTTTCTTTCACAAGTAAAACCAGCCTTTCGAGCTTGTGTTTAGTATTCACGATGTTAGAACTGCATGAAATAAATAAAAATTGTTTAAAATTAGTGTCTAGCCGCCAAAATGTAAGAAAACATATACAAAATCATACATTTTTCACAATTTTCTAACACTTCGCTACACCATCGAAAGCAAAATTCTGTTCGACAGAAAATTCGATACTCAACGAAAATTTCGACACGCTTGCATAGCTCATAATACGAATTTCACTGTTTTGACTATATGGAGGCAGGTGGACGAGACATGGTCACAGTTGAAAAAAAAACCAGCTGGGCTTAGAGAGGGGAAAGTAAAACTTGACATTTCCAAAAAAATACTGAAATTAGTTTAGTTGTCTTTGGCGCTGAACCCATTAAATCGTGTTTCTTTTTCAACTGTAATCAGTTCGCTATCGTGGAATATTCAGGTGAAGGAATTTATTATTTGTTTGGTATTTTCCAATTTTTTTTTTTATCTAAACATTTGCTTTGAAATGTAGATGCTAAAGATCATTAGTAAAAAAAGGTTTGAGTACCGGTCAGGTCTTGAAATTAGGCGCATGTTTTAGATAATTGTATGTAGTTTTCGAGCATATAAATTGATCTTTTTGCGCGACTTTGCAAATATATTTAATTTTCGATTATCTTAATTGTCGAGTTTCAGCTTCTTTTTGCATAATTTCGCGAAAAGAATTTTTCAAACAATGGAAAAATCTCACCAAACATTGGAGGAAAAGGGAATATTTACACCTATGAAATTTTAAAGTGTTACCTCTGTTTTCTTAGAATGGAAAGCAGGAAACAAAAATTAACCAAAATTTCATCACATTTAATGACTGGATCCACATTTTTTGTGAGTTTTGGACTTTATAGTGATCCACTCCTCGCCGTATTTTATATTTAGGGTTTTCTAATAAAAAGAGTACAAACTGAATTTCATAGAAATCGGATGAAATTTAATGTTTCCGCCCACAAGAGTGGAGGGCGTGGCAATTATTCCATCTTTACCAAATATCATAATTCCCTATTCCTAGTAAAATTAGAGCACATGTCATTATAGTCGAAACACTGTGAAACGTTATTCGCGGCGACCATTAATTTGTTCTGATTAATCATGTATGTATGTATGTACATATATCTATAGTAATTCCACTAGTAGTCATGATTGAAAAAAATTGCTGCTTTAATCGATTCAAGAATCCCAGGAAAATATTTTACCGCAGATGAATTGGAACAATGTAAAAGAACAATTTTCCAAATTTTTCGTAACACTCGCGATCCTAATGATGATGAAGATACTTTTGATGAACCAATTGTGTTATCGGATCCTAGTAACCTCTGGGAATCCCCGGCTAAATCTGCAAAGGATTTTACACGCAAAGCGACAACTAAAACTATTTTTCAAGTTGAAATAAACGAATATTTACAGCGTGGCGACGAATAACTGTTACCCTATTTTTTTTTTTAGAAATAAAGGGTCCTTTACAGATTTTGCAAAAAACGTATCTTATTGTTAATTTTCCACAGATTTTACTTAATTGGTTATTAAATTTTAATCCTTATTTACATTTGCCAGCAGTTGAAACTTTTTCAGTTGTATTTTTTCTTAGGCTATGTATAAAAAAAATACAAAAAAGAAAAAACTGTATAAGGTTGGCCGAATTAATGGCCGTCCTAGTCACCAGTTTCGAGTCAATTCGATTTGTGAGTATGAGGCCTTATGTTGAACAAAAGGAGGAGTATAAGGGACTTAAAATGGAGAAAATTTGGCTATGGTTACAGAATATATGGAATAAATTAACTGACGAAGACCTGCGTGCAAAATGAACTTTTCTCTCAAAGCTTACACTGCTGGAAAATGTAGATAAGGATTAAAATTTAAAAACTAATTAATACAACTAAAGTAAAATCTGTGGAAAATTATCAATAAAACAATTTTTTCGCAAAATCTATAAATGATATTTTTATTTCTCAAAAAAACCTGGGCAAGTTATTCGTCGCCACGCTGTAGATCAACCACTTGTTCTTCGTAGTGTCAATATATTCCATTATTGGATTTCTCCAATTTTTTTAATTTAAGAAGTTTGCGAAAAAGTATTTACATAACTGCGCCACCAACGAATGTGGCTAGCGAGCAATTATTTAGTACAGCTGGTCAGCTGTACACCGATAGATAATCAAATCCCTTTGGGAAAATGCAGCCACGCCCCTTCCCCGTCCTCCCCCACCCCAAAAACGTCCGGCAAATAAATAAACATTTCCCAATCTGTGTATCCAAAATTTTTATAAAAACCAAAAAAAATAATTCTGGTGAAAAATTTTTTTATAAAAGTTAAACTTTCTCGATTTTGGGGAACCCTACAATTGTTTTCAACTGGTTTTTATGATGTAACATTTATTAACTAGAACACTAGAATCGACTTTCTCCAAAATTGCTACTTTTTCTATTTTTTCTGCACTTTGCATTAAAAAAATTAATACAGACAAGCAGAAATTCAAAAATCGGGCTCAGCTGGTCTCTTGCAAATTTTATTATCTTTCATTTAAAAGAAAACTTAATGGCAATTTTGAACCACTGTGCGTCGGTGGCAAACTACGCAACCCAGTGTGGTCGGCAGGAATTAGCAACACGTTCCAGCNACTTTCTCCAAAATTGCTACTTTTTCTATTTTTTCTGCACTTTGCATTAAAAAAATTAATACAGACAAGCAGAAATTCAAAAATCGGGCTCAGCTGGTCTCTTGCAAATTTTATTATCTTTCATTTAAAAGAAAACTTAATGCCAATTTTGAACCACTGTGCGTCGGTGGCAAACTACGCAACCCAGTGTGGTCGGCAGGAATTAGCAACACGTTCCAGCAGAGGTGGGCACAGCATTTTTGTAGTGTGCGTGCAATTGATGTCACTGTGACAAACAGAGCGTGTATGTATACGCCCGCCGGGTGGACGCTGCCCAAGGCTGCCAGGGCTGTATTCGACGCTGATTCCCGCTTCTGGTAGCAGAAGAGGAAGGCCTCCTGTTATGGAATGACCATGGCCCGAATCGCGGCATTCAATTTAGAACGTAACTCGAATCGAAATTTGATTTTGAGATCTCGGCATTCGATAGCGAGTGTACTTCGCTCGTTTAAATTGTATTGTGGGGAAAACAGNTCGACGCTGATTCCCGCTTCTGGTAGCAGAAGAGGAAGGCCTCCTGTTATGGAATGACCATGGCCCGAATCGCGGCATTCAATTTAGAACGTAACTCGAATCGAAATTTGATTTTGAGATCTCAGCATTCGCTCGTTTAAATTGTATTGTGGGGAAAACAGCTGCCATTTNTATATATTTTTTTTTTTATATGAGAGTTGAAGTCGGTTTTTTTTTTTTTTTTAAATTACTAGTGTTTCATTCGATTCGAGTCGATCATGAATGCCGCGATTTGGGCCCAGGTTGAGGAGTTTGCTTAGGCGGTTTGCAGGATCACTGAGGCGGTTACAGAGCTAATCAAGAAGAAATTAATAGCAATTGTGTTATATTTATTTTGAATTATTGTATTTATTAATTTAGTAAACATAAAATTAATAATTGTATGCATCCTTTTTGTATATTTAAATATACTTATATAAAAGTAATTATTCAATATAGTTTCTTGCATTGTTATTTTATTATTTTGCTTAATTTTTGCGTTTTTTTGCATTTTGTCGTGTTTTTGTATTTTTCTTTCTTCACTTTACGTTACTTTAATTATTACCATTAATAATATTTAAGTATTATTTTATAAATTAAATTTTATTCTGATTTACCGTCTGCTCTTTTCGCCTTTTTGGTTTGTGTACAAAATTTTCTTTATATGCGTTAATGTAGTATTATATTAAATATTTAATTTTTATTTTTCTTTACGTTAAGATTTATGTACTTTTATATAACATTTACCTTGCTTTTGAAATATGCAGATTTTTTATCTGCTTGTTCTTTGCCTCTAAATTTTGGTGAAATGAAAAGGAAAAATTATAACAAAGCAGCATTTTTAATTATAACAAAAACGATATGCAAACATGCATAAACAAGTAAACATGTATATAAAATTTAAAAAAAAATATTTAAAATGATTCTAAAAAATAATAACTCAGAGATAACAATGGTGCAAGGCGATGATTAGACAAAAAAGGGAAAAAAGGGATATGATGATATAAATATTGGGACACAAAATCTGAGATTAATGGGATAGTTGGATAAGTTAGAACTTTTAGTGTTCTAAATTTTAAAAATTGGGCTTGGGTTGACCTATTTTGTAAAGTTCTTAATGTTGTGTATGTCAACGCATGCGTGTACAAAAATACAAGCTAGTAAGTGTCGAAGTGTAATCTGATGGTTATCGATCGAGTTTAACTTGCGAGAAGCGCTCGCGAGTGTTCTAATTTTCGGCCACAATTTATGTTGTGGACGGCAATTTGAAAATTAGTGACAAATTTCGTTATCCTCGGATGTGTATATGAACGAACAGGGCTTTAGAAGATTTAATTTTGTAAAAAGAATACTTTAGTTTTTATTAGCAGAAATACAAAAATCAGAAAGGATGTTGTAGTTCCAGAACTGAGCTTAAAGTTTCAAACTGTTTACGCTTTCGTCTTTTCTTTTAGTTTCAATTTTTAGTTTTCGAAGTTGTGTCTCCTGTACCTGCTGCTGCTGCTTGTCTGCACCAAATCGTTTTCTTTATTCCTCTTTGCCGTGAAATGCGCCTCTAATTTACTTATATATTTTTTTTTTTTAGTTTCAAATCGCTCAGTTCTTGTATGCTTTCGAATTTATTAGTGTATGTATTTTTGATGCAAATAATTATATTACATTAGTTTAATACATACAATTATATTAAATTTAAATATAGTTAATATAACTTGTCGTTATGTATGAGTGTGTATTTATTCTTAATGGGTGTAGCGCTTTACTTTTATTTTATTTGCCTTTATGCTCTTCTAATTTTAGGAGGGAAGGGATTATTGAATAATTTAACTGGTTTTTCTACCTCAAATTTAATTCAATTTTGGTTTTGGAATTTTACTCAAATGTCTCTTTCGTATTTCTTTTTGCTTTCCTCTTTCGCTTTTCAGATGTCTGCTGTAGTCTAGAACTCTATCATATATGTATGTATATTGTATTATGCAATAAGTTTATTTTAAATATATTCTTAACATAGATTTTATTTATTCGTTTATTTTTGCGATTTGCTTTGAATTAAGTTTTAAATTAGTCAGTTTTTTTGTTACTTCACCCCTTTATATTAAAATATCTTTTTGTTTAATTCCAAATAATTTCGATTTTAAATCAACGTCTTTTCATTGTCATACACATCTGCATGTTCGCCGTTACAAGTTGTACGATGTCCAGTTATGTCCGCTATCGCCACCCACATCCCACCTCGCTTCCCACTAGTCTTTACTAGACCTGCTAGCTAATTGCTTAACAAGACCCTTCTTAAATTCACTCGCGCCCGTTTGCTTCGTGTACTTGCTCTGCGGTATAAATTTGCTTTGCTTTTCCTTCTATTTTCGCGTTTAACTTATTTTTTAGAAAAAATCTTTTTAATGTATAATGTTTGAGAGTTTTTTACTCGTTTTGCACAATTACTTCTCGCTCGCTTTTTTTTTGAATTCGCACTTTTTTCTCCTTGTCTGCTTTATTTTTCAAATATACTTTTTCCTTTTTATTTTCACTTCCATTTTCGCAAAAGATGTCACTTAAGAAAAAATCAATTATTTTATTTCTGATGTTTACGTTTGTTGTTGTTGCTGCTGCTGATATCGTATTATCATATAATGTTTTCAACGCTAATCGTAGCAATTTGTTTTGAAGTTTTACTCTTTGTCTGTTTATTTCGGTTGCTGCTTTTTTCTTTTACTTTTTTCGCAATTATATGACAAAACGACTTTGTTCTCGCTCTCTTTAATCTTCTACATCGTCATCCTCCTTAGTATCGCTTTGTTGAAGTTCCTTTAATTTCTCCTCGCGCGGTTTGGCATTGCCAAAGATCGCTGCCGCTTGCTTTGTCTCTGCCAGCGCATTGATGGGCGCTTGAATGGTTCGAGGCTTCAAATTTAGCCGTGGCCTCTCGCTGTCATCTGCATAATAGAAAAACAGTAAGTAATGCGTTCAAGATTAACTTCACAAGGGACTATGAATATGGGATAGATCTGCTTATAAAGTAAATTTATTTCATAACGTCTGGTGGCAAAATAGATCTGATTATATCGCCAAAACCTAGCCCTATCCGAGTTTTAAATATAATTTAACCCGCATCCATCGGAATTTTTTTGTAACACAAAGTACGTTGTGCATCAATTTGATACATATGGAAAAAGACCCTAGTATTCAATGAAATGTTAGGTTTTTTTATATTTTCATTTTTTATTAGTGATCAACGTTTATTCATTTCCTGATAAGAATAAAAATGCTTGAAAGATTTATACGCATTTGTCGTAAAAACCACTTCAAAACCTTAAATATTTTAATATTTTTTCGAAATTTGCATCAATACACAAACGGTGGATGCGGGTTAAATCATAAAAACATGTTTAGACGCTTATTCCAACCACCTCAATTATATATTGTAGGTTTGGCCTGGGGGTAGTAAAAATCTTTACCAAAACTTCTTGGACTTATTTGTAGATCGCAGTTTACTATTATTTTATTATCCGACTTCAAAAAGAGGAGGTTATCAGTTCATAGGAATATATTTTATATATATATATATATATACATATATATAAATATATATATGTTACCGCATAACTTTGGAGGACGTTAACCCATTTCGATAATACCTTTTTCATCGGAAAGGTGGTACCTCTACGGCGGTCCCATACTAATTTTGTTTAGATACGACAAATGGATCGGGAAGAAGTTAACGATAATCATACATTTTTATATGAGAATTGAAGTCGGTTTTGTTTTTGCTAAAAAATTACTTGTGTTGCTAGTTTTAAAACGATTACACAAAGTGTTTATAGTTTTACGGTGGTAAGGAAGCTGCGAGAGTTACCTTTAACTTTATTCAATTGGACTTTCAATTACCTATACTGCCTAATGGGGCAGGAGCCGGTGCGGGTCTATCATTATGACTGGGATTGAAGTGCGGACGCTCGCGTTCACCTCTATTACGGCTGAAATTGTTGTAGCGATCATTGCCGCCATCTCGACTTTGAGCTCCAAAGCTTCCTTCGCGATTGTTGCGATCGCGATCATTATTTCGCTCAAAGCGATCATCATTGTTAAAATTACCATACCGACCACGGTTCGCTGGACGATCTAAAAATTATTTGTGTGAAGTTAGACATTACATTCTTGTTTAATAAGTTTATAACAAATATGTATGTGAAAAACACTTTTCAAAACAACTCAATTTTTCAAATTTCGGCATGCGTGTTTTGTGTCCGGAAAATGTAAAAATAAAGTCGCATACAAATAGTGGATTTGGAGAGGCAACTACGAGTGTTGTACGTTGGGGTGTTGGTTGTGGGGCAAAACTGCAAGGTTATACATATATGCAATAAAATAAGAATTAGCAGATTGTAGAAAAGAGAAATAAGTAGACAGATAAAAATTTAGGAATTCTCTAAATACATTATTGTTCAGCTATGTTGTTGCTACAAATTTGAATTAGGTGAGTGCACTTATCGTGGCCTGTACTTTTTATTTACCGTTGTATCCTCTATTCATGCCACCCCCACCACCGCTGCCGCTGCCTCCGCCGCGATTTCTATCGTTGTGACCATAATTATCATTGTACGAACCTCTATTATCCCCTCGATTACCACCACCGGCACCGCCGCCACCGCCACCGCGATTATATTGCTGATTGCCGGTACCACCACCTCCTCCGGCAGCGCCACCTTGCCTGGGTGGGCCCCGTTTATTGAAACCGCCACCACCTCCAGCTCCACCCCTAAAAAGTCATAGAAAAATAAACAAACGATTTAACACATTCAACTCACTAACCGTTCATTTTTCCTGCGATCAGCTATGTCAATTCTTAACGGTGCAGATAAGTCGTCCAATTTGATGCGTCCATCGCATTCCAATGCTCGTTCCAGGTTATCCAATGTTTCGAACTCCACATAACAAAATCCTTTGAATTGATCCGTTTCCCGGTCTTTAACCAAGCGTACATTTTTCACTTCAAAGTCTTGAAAAATTTTCATGACATCGCCTTGTACTAGCCCCTGTGGTAAATTTCCGACATAAGCAATGAATGGAGGTTCGGTTGGCAACTGCTTTCCCGGACGGTCTCCAAAGTTTCTAAATGATAAAGTGAAAAATACAATAAGTATTTTGGGAGTAATTGTATCCATTTTTTTTTAAGTTTAACAACCTTAGAGATGTTGCCTTCTATTTAAAAATGTTAAACGGGAATTTCAACACTTTTTGCGCAAAAACTAAAATGTTTGGTTGAAAAAGGAAAATCTTTTATCCCTTCATTACATTAATCATACACTCTAAATAAAAACATATCTTTCACCAAATAAAAGTTGTTAAGTTAATTTTTTTTATAAAGTGCATACCCACTAATTGAATGAAATCAAACCTCCTTCAGCTTCCCTTTACACCTGTCAAACAAGTTCATTGATAACCACGTTTTATGTACATCTGCATTTTTCTGATAAATAATGCCAAGCTAATACATAATCGCTTTATTGTCATTTATGCAAGACGTTCAAAGGATATGATGTGCTATGTATAGCCAATCGGCGTCAACATAACCTCTGCCGTCACCTAGCCCATGGCCAAACCTTTCCGGCAGTCTAAGCAGAGGTGCGGTGACGTCGGCCAAATGCCGACCGCGTTGCTCTGTTTTTACATTTTATACATTCGCTATGTTTTGCACATGATCCACCACCGTTTTATATTCTCGCGAATAGAACCTATAGACATTTGTTCCATTTCAATGAAAAATGCAGATGTTTTCTTAACTTTCAATTGCTGCCAGCAACTCTCCGCGCATTTTAATTAATTCTTATGTAGCCAATTTACTCATCCATGTTTCTTAAATTGGCGACAGACATATCATCATACAATCACTCGCCGTGTCAGCTCGTCGAAGACGTCGCCTTTTCTCTACTGGCCTTAGCCCATAGCCAGTGTGAAAATATCTGATGACTTCCTTTCGATTTTAAGCAACAATTATGCACTTTTCAAAACAACACATAAACACACAATTTTTCTAATTTAAATACACAAAATTCGTTTGATACAGCTGAATTTTATAATATATTTACCTAGCGTGATCAAAACCACCTCTTCCAGCCATGTTTTATTTTTTCAAAATGGTCTAAGCGAAAGATGTCCGTCCCAATTGAGGCGAATTTATTTTCTGCCTTTCACATTTCCACTGTTTCGCTATCAAAGTGTGCGCCCAGCGAATCTATAGCCAATTCACTCTTACCTACGCACACGAGCGCACTGCGAAACCTACCAAAACAAAATGTCGCACTGCAGTATTACCGCTTGCTCCAAAAACACTTCCACCGCTTTGACTTCCGTGCAAGCAACAGAGATGGCAATATTTTTTTTAACGCAACACGTCGGCCAACTCACCGGCCGCTGTACTAAAGCTGAAATTAGTCAAGAACGTAAACCTACCGGTACGTAAACCCGAGTCAGCGGACACGATCTGTCTTACCAGACCGCCATGTAAATTAGTCTGTTCCAATAGCAGTCCGGTTTAAAGGATTTAGGCAGAACTTACAGGAAGTCATTCCTATTGACATAAAACCTGTAAGTGGGAACACTTTTGAGAGAGTAACTGAGCAACTGTTCCTAGTCAGAAGTTACAGAATTTAGGGCCGGTTACTCCCTGTTGTATGCATGGAGTCGAAGACGTCGATAACGATGTTTAACCGCAGATTAGTGTTAACCGGACATTGAGTAACCGGCCCTTAGTCCGGAGTTTTTTTTCCTGTAAGTTCATGAAAAGTGTCAAGCGATCAGCTGATTTGCATGTGCAAACAAAAATAGAAAGCGGTGTAGCAAAGAACCTTATATTTGTAAAAAATATGAAAGTAAACAACGAAATATTTGAATATATATAGATTCTAATAATTAGTTAGTGATATTTCGGCCAAATCAGTGTTTTACAAATGACATGTAAACAAACCGACTGACTTTTTACAGAAAATAGTGCTTTTTGCGTTCCCACTTTTCGGGGGACAACGCCAACGTGCCGCCTCTTGAGGTACAACAGGTGCTGGAATTTTGCCGCAGAAAACGACTTCCGGCGATTCTCGGCTGCGATGCGAACGCCCACAATATAGAGTGGGGCAGCTCGGACACAAACCGTAGGGGTGAGTTCCTATTGAAATATATATTCAGTGAAGACCTGTGTATCCAGAATGTCGGTAATGAACCAACGTTCATAACTAGGGTCAGAGAGGAGGTACTTGACATCACTCTCAGCAACAGACTGGCCAGTCCGCTGATCGTTCAGTGGCGGGTCTCACCCGGGCCCTCACTGTCGGATCACAGGATTATCCGATTTGCACTGGGAGCTGAGGTTCTGACAGGTAACCCAAAGAGAAACCCCAGCAAAACAGACTGGGGTAAATATGAAGAGGTACTTAGGTTGAAANGTCAGAGAGGAGGTACTTGACATCACTCTCAGCAACAGACTGGCCAGTCCGCTGATCGTTCAGTGGCGGGTCTCACCCGGGCCCTCACTGTCGGATCACAGGATTATCCGATTTGCACTGGGAGCTGAGGTTCTGACAGGTAACCCAAAGAGAAACCCCAGCAAAACAGACTGGGGTAAATATGAAGAGGTACTTAGGTTGAAACTAACCACAATAGAGGCACAACATAGAAAGGTGGATTGTATGGAGTTAGAGGACAGGCTGTTGGCCCACTTTGCGGACGCCATTCCCACCGCCGGGGATACGTTGTTCCGTATGTTCAGGCCATCTCCACTGGACTGGAAGTTGGCTAAAAGACTTATAAACCGGCAAACAGTGCGGTGGGCTCTGGACTCCTTCGAACGGTACAAGGCCCCTGGGGTGGATGGTGTATGTCCAGCGCTGCTGAAGCAGGGCGGAGAGCTCTTACTTCCATATCTTGTGGACATTATGAGGGACAGTCTAGCACTGGCCCACATTCCCAAGGTATGGCAGAGGGCCGGGGTTATCTTTATCCCGAAGGTAGGTAAGAGGGATTACTCTCTTGCCAAGTCATTCAGGCCGATAAGTCTCACATCCTTTATGTTAAAGGCAGTGGATAAAATTATTGACCATGAAATCAGGTTTAAGGCTCTAAAACAAAACCCTCTGCATTCCAACCAGCACGCGTACAGGGTGGGGAGATCCACGGATACTGCGCTGTATGCCCTAACGGAGGAAATACAAGGGGCGTTTGAGTGTGATGAGGGTNTTGCCAAGTCATTCAGGCCGATAAGTCTCACATCCTTTATGTTAAAGGCAGTGGATAAAATTATTGACCATGAAATCAGGTTTAAGGCTCTAAAACAAAACCCTCTGCATTCCAACCAGCACGCGTACAGGGTGGGGAGATCCACGGATACTGCGCTGTATGCCCTAACGGAGGAAATACAAGGGGCGTTTGAGTGTGATGAGGGTGTTCTCTGTGCCTTCCTCGATATCGAGGGGGCCTTCGATACCGCCTCCCATTTAGGAGTCGACAGAGCTCTTAGGAAACATAACGTTCAGCCAATCATCCGAAGATGGATAGCAAGGTTACTTCAGAGCAGGATTGCCGAAACTGAAGTCGGTGATAGCGTCGTTCAATTACAAATGATGTAAGGGTCCTCTACTGTGGAGCTTAGTTGTGGACGAACTCCTACAGATACTTACTAACGAGGGCGTCCGTTGCCAAGGGTACGCGGACGACAACGTCCAAAGAGGACTTGCAACCTGGCAAAAAGGTGGTGCGCAGACGTAGGTTTAAATATCAACCCTTCTAAGACAGCCATAGTCCCCTTCACTAAGAAACGAATTCTCCAGGGGATGAGGAAGTTGGCCTTGGACAGGGTCGTAATCAGTGTCGCCACAGAGGTTAAGTATCTGGGGCTTACCCTGGGCTCCAAGCTTCTGTGGAGGGCCCATGTTGAGGCAGTCACCTCTAAGGCCACGAGAGCGATGATGGTGTGCAAATGTCTAGCGGGTAAATCCTGGGGGTGCACTCCGAGGATCCTCAGATGGATGTACACCATGATAGTGAAACCAATAGTGACTTATGGTGCGGTGGCTTGGTATTAAAGGACTACTATGGGAACGGTGAGGCAGACCCTATCCAAGATTCAACGTCTGGCATGTGTTTGTATAACGCACATGCCCGAAGGCAGCGCTGGAGGTAATGCTTTAACTCGAGCCAATGCATCTCTCAATTGAACAGGCTGCAAAGCGAACCCTACTTAACTTTGCGAGGGAGGGCTTCGGCAAAGGCAAGGTGTTATCATCTAGGAACTGGGACAAGCTAGGTACCCAGCTCCCGTTGGCTTTGTTCCCCAGGGACGATATTAACAGAGAGGTGGTCTTCAAGAGAAATTTCAGGACCCACACTTATAACAAGCGACCTGGCGTACCTCTATTATAGAGAGTCACATACAGGCGAGCACAATACAGTGGTACACTGACGGCTCTATAACACCCGCGGGGATTGGAGCAGGCGTGTACGGCCCTAGGCTGAAGCTTTCGGTGCCCCTGGGAACTTTTCCTAGCATCTTTCAAGCGGAGGTTTACGCCATCAGTATGTGCGCTGAGATCAACATTCGTAGGACTATAGGAACGAAAGGATACTTATACTAGATGATAGCCAGGCGGCACTTAGGGCCCTCTCATCATTCGAGATCAAGTCCTCCTTGGTTTGGTAGTGTGTAGAGAGGCTCAATGCTCTGGCGGAGGTCAACGATATCCAGCTAATGTAGGTACCAGGGCACATGGGGGTTGCAGGAAATGAGGAAGCTGATCATCTGGCCAGAACGGCCGCTTCCTCTACCCCGATAAGACCTGAGCCCTTTCTGGCAGTAGGACCCAACACCACCAAGGAAATGCTCAGAAGGGACAACAGCAAACTGAGGGAGCTACACTGGCTTGCCACCATGGGCCAACGTCAGGCGAAAAGCTTATTAGGAGGTTACAATCTGTAAAGAGAAACTAAGAATTATTACAGGTTTTATGACAGGTCACTGTAGGCTCAGAGGTCACCTGCATAAACTAGGTATCTGGTCCAGCGACCTGTGTCGCTTTGCGATGCAGCCGAGGAGACTCCTCTACACCTCCTTATGGAGTATAAGGCCGTTGCACGCAGGAGGTATAGGAGCATAGGACACGTCTGGCCAAGAGAGGAGCACATACACTCACTGTCCCCGGGGTCTATTATGAAATATTNTTCAGGACCCACACTTATAACAAGCGACCTGGCGTACCTCTATTATAGAGAGTCACATACAGGCGAGCACAATACAGTGGTACACTGACGGCTCTATAACACCCGCGGGGATTGGAGCAGGCGTGTACGGCCCTAGGCTGAAGCTTTCGGTGCCCCTGGGAACTTTTCCTAGCATCTTTCAAGCGGAGGTTTACGCCATCAGTATGTGCGCTGAGATCAACATTCGTAGGACTATAGGAACGAAAGGATACTTATACTAGATGATAGCCAGGCGGCACTTAGGGCCCTCTCATCATTCGAGATCAAGTCCTCCTTGGTTTGGTAGTGTGTAGAGAGGCTCAATGCTCTGGCGGAGGTCAACGATATCCAGCTAATGTAGGTACCAGGGCACATGGGGGTTGCAGGAAATGAGGAAGCTGATCATCTGGCCAGAACGGCCGCTTCCTCTACCCCGATAAGACCTGAGCCCTTTCTGGCAGTAGGACCCAACACCACCAAGGAAATGCTCAGAAGGGACAACAGCAAACTGAGGGAGCTACACTGGCTTGCCACCATGGGCCAACGTCAGGCGAAAAGCTTATTAGGAGGTTACAATCTGTAAAGAGAAACTAAGAATTATTACAGGTTTTATGACAGGTCACTGTAGGCTCAGAGGTCACCTGCATAAACTAGGTATCTGGTCCAGCGACCTGTGTCGCTTTGCGATGCAGCCGAGGAGACTCCTCTACACCTCCTTATGGAGTATAAGGCCGTTGCACGCAGGAGGTATAGGAGCATAGGACACGTCTGGCCAAGAGAGGAGCACATACACTCACTGTCCCCGGGGTCTATTATGAAATATTTAGACACTCTGGGGCTGGTTGATGTGTTGTGATGAGCTAGGGGCACAATAGACCTACTGATCGCAGTGCCATACCCAACCTACTATCTATCTAAGGCAGCAAGGCAAAATATACTGTATTTAGTCAAGTCTTACGCTACGCGCACACTGCAGCCGTCATCGGCGGTATTGTGATCGGCTGATATCGGCTCTATGCAGGCGATATGAATAAATACTTGTGATTATATGAGCGCTCTCACACATAAACCGATA